CCATGAAGTCCTCCGGATATGTCAATGTAATGAAATTTGGATACCCTATACTTCTCTAAATGTTAATGTAACTATTCTTTTAACCAATAGTCCTCCAAAAAAAAAAGGGGGGGGGGGATTTAAGGGTTAGTTTTGGTACAATCATACATCTGAGGATTTTTCAAAATGAGAAGTTCTTGTTAAAAACCAAAAAAGAAAGTTAATTGTTATCTGTTGAATGACAGTGAGATGAGGGAGTCGAGAGAGGACTTCTAAGGGCAATTCTGTAACTGCAAGCAATTTAATCGACTTAATAATGGTTGTGCATGAGATCACNATAAACACAATTTTTTTTATAAAAATTGTATTTAATAGAGTAAACAACTTATCTATACATTTTTATTCAAATAAGTCTAAAAAATTATACCCACACTCAAAAAACTCTTATCTATATAAGTATTTTCATAAGGGTCCGTTTGGTTAGCAAGAAAAAGATAATAGAAAGTGAAAGTGATAGAAAAAAAAATAAAAAATATATATATTTTCTTGTATGTGTTTGAATAGGATTAAAATTTTTTAAAAAAAATTTCATTCTATAGTTTGGAAAGCAAGAAAGTTACAAGAAATTTTATTTAATTGTCTGAATTACCCTTATATATAATTATTCAAAAGTGACTCTACCCATATGGCTACAGAACATAAAATTGACAATTAATTTTTGATCCTTTATTTTTTTTCAAGATAAAATTCAGCTCACCAAGCTTATAACACTACGTTTATAAAAAAAAAAGAAAAAATAGATTTATATCACCCTAGAAAAAAAAAAGATACGAGTTCGTTGAATTGGTCTAATTTTTTATTGACATTGCAAGACACAATTTGAGTTGTCCATATAACCCACCGCCAATTATTAGGTCCATAAATTAATAGAATGTAACATTCACGCTATATACTCTAAATAGTTTGTCAAGAATGAGTATATCTGTTTATTCTAATGGATAAGAGAAGGAGCACACGCCTTAGAACCATAGAATCAAATTATTAAACAAAAAATAGAAAACAATGCAAGATTTTGATAACAAATACTACCTTAAATGACCTAATAATACTTAAGACACAAAAGTTGTACACAAATATGTTAGTTGAGATATTTTATCAAACACTTGGTCTATCTCATGTACATGATTGTTGAATCATAATTTCGTAAACATTTAACCCAAAAATCAACAAAAAAAAAATAGAGAGAAAAGGGGAAAAAATGGTGTTGCCGCGGAAGAAATGCAGTAAGTACATAGGACTAATACAAATTGAAGATCCAAAAAATTAACATTCCGAAGTGTATACACTAATACAAATTACTGGGTTTTTTTGCTGGTACAAATTTATGGGTTTTGTTATTCACAATATGTAGCAATTCTAGTACATAGAACAATTGAAAATAGAAGAAAAACATACTTATCAGTTGGTTGAGTTTGATATAAAAAAAAAAAAAAGTTGGTTGATCAGTCGGTTAAGAAGTTGAGTACTAAGAGACAGTTTTCTTTCAAGAGTTTGCTAAGAAGATGAGTGATGAGAGGAGTTGTGGTGTGTTACAAATAGGGATAGAGTGGTAAATAGTAAAACAGATAACCAAGTTTCATGAAAAAAAAAAACAAATTTGTGTAGATTTTTTGGGGAAATCAAAAGCCATAAAATACGAGAAAATCTCATGTTACGGAAATTTTTTTTCCTAAGAAACATTCCTTTCCTATTAAACAAACGCCAATTTTTTTTTTTTTCTCTTTCCCCCTTTTCCCACCATTCTCTTACTAACAAAACAAAACTTGAGGGTTATGGGGGGGGGGGGGGGGGAAACTGTTATTTCCCTAAGGGGGCCCATTAATACTGAGTGGNAACAAAACAAAACTTGAGGGTTGGGGGGGGGGGGGGGAAACTGTTATTTCCCTAAGGGGGCCCATTAATACTGAGTGGATTTTTAGGTATTATGCAAGAAATGAAGGGTGTGTTCTGCGGACTGGGTATCGTAATGCGAGAAGAATCATTATCGCAGGGCATTGAAGGGGAGGTCATAAGCGTTTATACTGTAGGATAAGTTCGAGAATTCAGCAACAGTGCAGAATTGAATTTCTCGGAAGGAGGTAGATTGGTAAGAAGGGTTGACCACATGGGTGAAAACAGCAGAAAAGCTCAGCTTTACGGAGCGGACCAACTACACTATCATCCACTAACTAACAATAATTTGTTGTAAAGACAGTTGATATCTCTTCACTTTTTTCTCTTTGTACATATTGATTGATGAAGCTGCTTGTCTGTAACACTTTGATGCATGCAAAATAGCTCTTTCGGCTCTGCCGACCTGGCATCCAAATGGGCAGCGCTCACTGCCCAATTCCGTTCAACACGTCTCGAATTTTCATTATCATTCAAAAGGGTAAAGGCAGATTGACAGAACAACATAGAAAACGCACTGAAGAAGATCTTACTCTGTCTTATTATCATTTGTCGATAATTAAAACCATTAGGACTTGTTTGGATGGATTTTGAGGAGGATTTGGATTGGTTTCTTTAAATCTTTTTAAACTTAAACCCCTCTTTACAAAGACGAAATTTAACATTAAATTCGAGTCATACCCATGTTTGGTATGTAACATATATACATGTAAGACTCACAGATATATTATAATTATTAATAATTATTTATTTTATAAATAATTATTTTATCTTNTTGGTTTCTTTAAATCTTTTTAAACTTAAACCCCTCTTTACAAAGACGAAATTTAACATTAAATTCGAGTCATACCCATATTTGGTATGTAACATATATACATGTAAGACTCACAGATATATTATAATTATTAACAATTATTTATTTTATAAATAATTATTTTATCCTTGATCAATCTAATTCATACACATTAAAGGATACAATTGTCTTTTATATCCTTATCTCCTTAACCAATTTTTCTAAACCCACCTCGTCAAACCCCCCATACCCCCTTACCAAATAGAGAGAATTTCACAAGGCAGGATTGTCCTCTCTTCTTTTTTTTTTTATAAAAATAANATCAATCTAATTCATACACATTAAAGGATACAATTGTCTTTTATATCCTTATCTCCTTAACCAATTTTTCTAAACCCACCTCGTCAAACCCCCCATACCCCCTTACCAAATAGAGAGAATTTCACAAGGCAGGATTGTCCTCTCTTCTTCTTTTTTTTTTTTATAAAAATGAAAAGTGTTTGAGTCAATTTATGCGTATCTTATTTAATTTTCTCTTTAGTTTGATCAAAAACAGGTCATTCATACCGAAATTAGAGTATTTACGAGAGATAAATTTTTTATGACTTGATCTCAAAAAATTGTTAAGTTTTAAATTCATGATGTCTAAATTTACAATTCTTTCATGTTATCACTCCATCTATCATTGGGGTTGAATTGCACTTTTTACAATTTGGAGAATCTCCCAATAGTGGATGAAAATAATCAAGTGGATGCAATTATGCAACCAATAAAAAAAAATAGCAACTTATTTTTTTTTAAAAATATTTGCTTCCAGTTCAAGTATATTTTCTTGTAAATTTGCATCCCGATTAATTGTTAACTTTGAATCCACTTTTAATCGGATATCAGAATTTGAATTCCATATTAATCTCTCCATAATGATATCAAATCTCATTATTGCACATCCAAGATGAAAATTTAAAGTTGATCAAAATGGAGAAAATATTTTCTCAAAGGTCATTTTATTTTATTTTTTATTTTCTAAAAATCATAATAACAAAGTTAAGAAGTCATTTAAATTGGTATAGTATATAATATTATTGTATAATTGAGTTTGTTTTTCAACAGTTATGGGTATCCAGATTAACTTACATGCATTTTGACGAATCTCTTTTTCGGAAACCTCATAAAATTGTCAAATTCAAATTCAAGAAATTTGAATTTACAAATCATTGTGTGACCACTTGAATCATTCATTGAGATTATAATTGAGTATTTGTGGAGATGATGAATGGGACTTATCCGACAAGCAAGGATGGTGGGATGAACATTCCATTATGCGGCTGAGCCTGAGGTAGCTGTCATTGCAAGCATATTATACTTGCTAAAAGCGACCCATAACCCAAACTCTATTTTCAAGTGTTTGGTGAGAGGCAAAAAAACACACTTGAATCTCACTCCATAGAACGTGACTTATAGCCTGATACATGGAAGTTGGTTCAATCTATACCATCTTTCACATTTGGATGTGACAGAGTCGAATAACATACCATTATTCTATTAGGGACCGTTTGATTCACCGGATTGAGTGAGAAGACTTTGGAATTAAGTAAAACAAACGTGTGGCCCACAAAGTCCATTTTGGCAAACAAAAAATAAAATTCCTTGACAAGATTATGAATTCAGACCCATAGTAATCATTGCAAATAATCCTACGTTATTGAAACCAATTAGGAGGTGGTATTCAAACGGGTGGAATAATATTAGAATTAAAATTAATTGCTCTCAAAAATAACTCTAATTTGATTGTCATACTAATATCCAAACCTGCCTCAAAAAACCAAATAGCATGAGTTTGGATTGGGTTACGTAAACCAACCCAATCCTCGAGAAACTTCCGTTAGCAATACTATTCTCATTGCTTTGACTCGTATTCCCCGAAAGGTAGAGTTTGCTCTAATAGTTCTAAGTAAATTAAATACGTGCATTGGAACCCATTATTATGAACCCGAACCCATTAGTATGAAAAGTATTATTTTCCAAGTAAAATTCCATACACATGAAAGAGTGAAAAAGTAGATTCGTTGAATTTTAACGTCTAAATTGTGAAAGTGAAACCATGCCCCGTCTGTTAGGCCTAAAAATGGGTAAGAAAATGCCATACTAAGTGCACAAGTCTTCCGCCTACATCCGTGATGCATTGCCTAGGCGGATTCTGTTCTATCACTCCAGATCCAATCTCTGATCTTTCATAGAACTACTTTGATGAGTACAAGAGTCAGAATCAGATTTGAACCTAGACTTTATGTATTTATGCACAATAAGGTAAAATTTCCTTCCTTTATCAGGTTGTCTGTAACTACACAATATCTGGATACCACCACCTCTACTGGAAAAATTAAACATAAAACAAAAGAATCGGCCTCTTAACACCCCTCAAGACGAAAACAAAGAAAACAACAAAGCAATATACAAGATGGGGCTGGGAGTATCTCAAAATTAACCTTTTCCTCTTTGTGCAAAATATGCTTTATCTGCATTTGCAAGGCGATCCTGAAATTTAGCCCATTCATTTCTGCATCGCTCTCTCACCTGTAAGTGGGGAATAAAAGATCAAGCAATTACTCAAAGGAGTAGCCATAAATGTTATCATGTCCCAATGGCAAAGTTTTACAAAACAAGAGAGAACTTTCAATCGTTCTCCCCTCAACTTAATATGAAAGAAACAACAGACAACAAGGGATATTACAAATTTTGGGCTAACTTAAGAAGCAAATGAGGGAACCACTTCTAAACAAAGTAGATCAAAGGTGGTAAATATACATACCCCCTGCCATGGAGCTTTACCATCCTCAGACTGACCCTGAAACATTTAAAACAAATTCAGAATGGTGATGGTCATAATTTTAGAACAAAAAATGTCATCTTAATATTGACAAGTTATTGATGACTCACCTGACTCCCAAGAGAAGGAATTACTTGATGAACAACCCATTGTGAATCAACCACACCAATTTTCTCATGTGCAGGCTGTAGAGGCAAAACAAAAGTAGTCACAAGATTTTGCCAAATTCAAGGTTGCGCACTACCGTAAAACATACCAAATTTCAATGGAAGATCCTTGGCATTTTTAAACTTTCTAACATTTACGTTGCATAATGAAAATAGAGAAACCCCACAATCCATATAAATTACTCCCATTTCACAATATTTGTGAGACAACCAACCCATGTCATATACAATGGGCATGCCTCATTGGTACACAAAGCATTCATTGAAACGCAAAGAAAAAATTCAGATCTAATCAATTAGTCTCCACTACAAAACAAAATAAATTCCTCTTGAACGAAATGAGGCTGACATGTACTATCTACGCAACATAATTTTTGCCACAGCACCAAACCTGCACAAACATTAGTCCATCTGTGCGTGTATTCCTGCAGAAATAAAAGAACATAATTTCTCATGCGTGGGGGACAAGGTTGCCTACCACTTATCTCTCCCAAACTCTACTACATACGGAACCCTTGTGCATTGAGTACAAAATTAGTTTAAATAATTACATAGAATGTCGGCACACGAGAAAAAGAGAAAAGGAGAAAAAGGGGGGGGGGGAGGAGAGAGAGAGAGAGAGAGAGATAGACTTAAAATGCACTGAAAGCTAAACACAGAGTAAAAAGAAAAATACTAACCTCTACACATCTCCTGAGTGCAAAATCCAGACCCCATCCATGCACCAAATCATTCTACAAGTTATTAAAACCAGCAAGATAAAAATATAGCTGAAAATAGACAAATGAAAGCAGCAACAGAAAAGTGAAGATAACATATAATGGAAACACTCGATGTATATAACTACCATATTTAAAGCATCAATATCTATTTTTAGGGTGGGCACTTTAACTACAAGATTTAATTAATGTTTTCCAACTTATAATATATAATGATAAATTTATATCTATTTATAGAGAGATCTAGAAAATTAAAAACTACTTGTAGATCAATTGCAAATAATTCCTTATTTAAATTAAGAATACAAACCAAAAATCCATAAAGGCACAAATCAATGCCAATAACTAAAAAATTTTAACACAATAAAAAAACCTAAACAAAAAATTAAAGATCAATTGCACAACTCATAGTATAAAAGGCACTGCTAGAATATAAAAAAAAGTTAAATTAGGAAAAAAATCATGTGTACAAACGTTGAAATTAGCAAAAAAATCAGGATAATTTTTTTATTGATTGACTGAATCTCATATAAAGGTATGACATAGTAGCTCGCAAGAGGTCACATAGTCACCAACTGCGTATACTTCTCTCTTCATTTCTAACTTTCTTAGTCTCTTTCTTGTTTTTGTTTGATGAAAATAATCTCGCGTGATTAAGATGTTTGTTTATGTATTTTTTTCAAGTCGATATGATTTTATCACTTTGTTTTATGAACATGGTTTTTATATACTTACAAAATGATCCTATATTTTATCACGTAATAATCCTAGTTTTTATTCAACAAAAAAAAAATTTACTTTTCTTTAAAAATTCACAAAATGACTTTTCATGTGTCCAAAATATATCAAAATGTACTTGGAGCGTGCCCATATATGTTCACTTGTTATTTGGTATTAGTTTATTATAATAAAATATTACAGTGTGCACAATCAATTGCACTTGAAAAATATTTTAGCAAATAGAAATATGCATCTATATAAAAAAAATATAAACTATTGGGGGTTGGCCCTAATGTGCCTCCGCTTGTGAGCATCATCGAATGAGAGACGTACCTGAATCATATGCCACACACACCGCCAAGCTTCTCGAGAAAACACGGGGGCCATAATTTCTACAAATCTGAGTAGATGCAGAAATTTATAGGCAACTAGTTACAAGTCAGTGTGACAAGCATTCTAAATTAATGTGAAATTGTAGTTCATAAATTGAGACCTACACAAAACACAATTTCCTAGGTTCGTAATCAAACATTCTTCACGTATGCAGGCATCTAATTTTGCAAAATTTGCTAACTACGTTATCCAAATTGCAGCATGCATATATGATATATCACTTCAATTTTACCTTGGAAAACTGCAAAAGGTCTTCTATTAGACTCTGACGTTTTCCAAAAATAAAATATGGAAAATACTAGAGCAAATCAAGTGTTAATAAATCCAATCATTTCTCAGAAAAAATCAGTCATAACCCATTTTTCTGGTACCTCTCAGTCATGATTCCAATGTCTTGTGTTCAATAAAATCAGATCAATAACAAAATAGGTAAATAACAGACAGAAAAATAGGTCAAGAGGCTAGGGTTGATAAACCCTGTTTGAAGGGGGGGGCCATGTTATGACAGAATGCATAATAGAGAGGAAAAGGAATAGCAAGAAGGTTTTGTCTGTGTGTGTGTGTGTGNATACTTACAAAATGATCCTATATTTTATCACGTAATAATCCTAGTTTTTATTCAACAAAAAAAAAATTTACTTTTCTTGAAAAATTCACAAAATGACTTTTCATGTGTCCAAAATATATCAAAATGTACTCGGCGCGTGCCCATATATGTTCACTTGTTATTTGGTATTAGTTTATTATACTAAAATATTACAGTGTGCACAATCAATTGCACTTGAAAAATATTTTAGCAAATAGAAATATGCATCTATATAAANAATATAAAAAAAAGTTAAATTAGGAAAAAAATCATGTGTACAAACGTTGAAATTAGCAAAAAAATCAGGATAATTTTTTTATTGATTGACTGAATCTCATATAAAGGTATGACATAGTAGCTCGCAAGAGGTCACATAGTCACCAACTGCGTATACTTCTCTCTTCATTTCTAACTTTCTTAGTCTCTTTCTTGTTTTTGTTTGATGAAAATAATCTTGCGTGATTAAGATGTTTGTTTATGTATTTTTTTCAAGTCGATATGATTTTATCACTTTGTTTTATGAACATGGTTTTTATATACTTACAAAATGATCCTATATTTTATCACGTAATAATCCTAGTTTTTATTCAACAAAAAAAAAATTTACTTTTCTTTAAAAATTCACAAAATGACTTTTCATGTGTCCAAAATATATCAAAATGTACTTGGAGCGTGCCCATATATGTTCACTTGTTATTTGGTATTAGTTTATTATAATAAAATATTACAGTGTGCACAATCAATTGCACTTGAAAAATATTTTAGCAAATAGAAATATGCATCTATATAAAAAAAATATAAACTATTGGGGGTTGGCCCTAATGTGCCTCCGCTTGTGAGCATCATCGAATGAGAGACGTACCTGAATCATATGCCACACACACCGCCAAGCTTCTCGAGAAAATACGGGGGCCATAATTTCTACAAATCTGAGTAGATGCAGAAATTTATAGGCAACTAGTTACAAGTCAGTGTGACAAGCATTCTAAATTAATGTGAAATTGTAGTTCATAAATTGAGACCTACACAAAACACAATTTCCTAGGTTCGTAATCAAACATTCTTCACGTATGCAGGCATCTAATTTTGCAAAATTTGCTAACTACGTTATCCAAATTGCAGCATGCATATATGATATATCACTTCAATTTTACCTTGGAAAACTGCAAAAGGTCTTCTATTAGACTCTGACGTTTTCCAAAAATAAAATATGGAAAATACTAGAGCAAATCAAGTGTTAATAAATCCAATCATTTCTCAGAAAAAATCAGTCATAACCCATTTTTCTGGTACCTCTCAGTCATGATTCCAATGTCTTGTGTTCAATAAAATCAGATCAATAACAAAATAGGTAAATAACAGACAGAAAAATAGGTCAAGAGGCTAGGGTTGATAAACCCTGTTTGAAGGGGGGGCCATGTTATGACAGAATGCATAATAGAGAGGAAAAGGAATAGCAAAAAGGTTTTGTCTCTGTGTGTGTGTGTGAGAGAGAGAGAGAGAGGGGACATACGCAGCACATGGAGGCAAATGTGGATCACTGCACCAGCCTGGTTTCTCTTCTGTATCCCTGTTCACCAATCAGGACATACAAAACTTAGGAGTATACACACCTATGAGCTATTTTGAAAAAAGTACTATAGCTTTAGCAATAAACCAATCTCATTTGAGAGAGAGGGAGAGAGAATAAATACAATAAACCTACTTGTGAACTTCTCTGTCCCCTCTCCTCTTAGTCATCTGCCATGTTAGTCCATTATTGGGTTCAAGCCCTGGTTGAGAAATCTCCAAACCATGTTTCTTAACTAGTTGAATATACCTGGTATATTTACATATCCAAAATGGAAGTGAAAAAGGAAAAAGCAATAAGAAGAGAATGAAAATTAACCAGCAGCAACGAACAAAAAGGATGAAAAAAAGGTAAACTTGAAAACCCTTACTTCTCAGCGTTGAAGTGTTCAACTCCAAGATCTTCATCCCAAATGAAAATGTAATCATAAGCTGCTATAACATCAGGATGCAGAAACCTCTTTGCATACCACCTACAAAGTAAAAGAGGAAGAAGAATATATTATGAATGTGGACAAAAAATTCACTTAACAGTTATCACTTCATTGGGAAACAAGTGGTCAATATTCTATGGAGGTGAAACTTGAAAGCTATGTAAAACACAATGCGTCTCACCATTTTGTTTGTTTCCTTATGCTGACATGAACGGCACGTTTTGACCACTCAAATTGATCCCATTCATTTGTCTGGCCATCATAATGAAAAAGCAAGATTTGGAAATCCTCTGAAAACTACACAAAATATAAGATCACAAACCTCAGTCTCTCTGCAACACCACAGAAATAAAGTAACATAGTGAAATGGGCCACCTGTGTTACCTTTTTTACTGCTGCATCGATATTATTCTTCTGATTCAAACCAACAGTGAAAGTTACCAAGTACTTTGGCTTCCTTTTCAGATCCTGAAAGTTCGAGATATTCTCAGTAAAACAGCTGCAATTTCGTAGAAAGCCAAAGGCATGCTAAATCAAAGGAAATTTCACAAGAGACAGAATCTCTTTCTGCACACAATGTTTTCTTCATCTTTTTTCCCCACCATTCAGTTTGGTAGTGCTGGATGTATGTTACAGTTCTCACACTCTGCCTGGTCAAAATGCATACAACAAAAAGAAATGGCTACCGTTATGTAAACATATGATATTCCCCTGAAGGATCTCAGTTGCACTTTCCATTGTTCGCATGAGCAAAAAGGGACGCCGCCAAAATCCAGAAAATCCACCCATAACCATCCTCCCCCTCCCCGCCCCCCAAACCAGAAAAACACACACACATCCACACCAACCTCCACCCATCTGAGAATGCACATATGTGTAGGAACAAAACCTGATAGATATGAACATGTGTAACNTCCCCGCCCCCCAAACCAGAAAAACACACACACATCCACACCAACCTCCACCCATCTGAGAATGCACATATGTGTAGGAACAAAACCTGATAGATATGAACATCATGCATCACAAATAAACCTCAAAAACTTGAGCAATTAATGAAAACGTGTGGAGTCTGAAGACCATGAAAACTTTAACCAGAAAACTGAATAGTTGTATGTCAAGGCAGAGAATCAGAGATGACTAATATTATCCACTAATAAAACCCACCACTTAACTGCAGTAAAAGTTTGGAAGTTCCAACACCACATTCACAATTATTTTGTTAAAGACCATACCTCACTTGGTTCACCCCACAATCTTCGCAAATAAAAATCAGTCTCTGAGACTACAATTCCTGGTGGTAACGACTCTGCACCACGAGGATTTGTCGGAACATAAATCTGGACGCAAAAAAAACAAATGAGAAAATCATCAGTCTGGATCAAAATGGACTTTCAGTGGTGCTATGGAGCAAGAAATGACACATATTATAGAAAAAAACCATTACTGTCAAGCCCAAGATATTCATGAAACAATGAGTCATCAAGTAATATGATAGTCACTATCCAATTTCTCTAGCTTTGCCTGGATATGGATTTCAGTACGGTGGTGGAAGAAATTGAAGGAGTGTACAGAAATGGTGAAGCAAAATTCTTTAACAAAGCTCATAAAAAACTACATAAATGAAGCCCTTACAACATGGGTTAATGATCCTAAAATGACCATTAAAGGTCCTCTTATAGATAGAACTCAAAAGGAATTTCATCTATTCTTTACCCGGGAAAGAAAATCAAATTGTCCCAACAGATAAATAGGTAAAAGTCAAAACGGTAGACAACATAGGTGTCAATCACAATAATTGGAGATGGAGGATTTACTTTTTTTCTTATTTCTCCGTATAGTGAATTATGTAATGAACCACTGGTCTTCAGTGTGACTCTTGAACTTAAAGTTGCACTAAAAGCAGTATAAGCAAATTAGAAAGAATTAAATGGCCAGAGAAAAACTACCTTAGGTGTTGTAGGGGTACTGCCAGAACCAAGATTTTCAGGAAAACTACGTTCTAGATTTTTATTATGATCTTCGTTGAAGGCTGAATCAAGAGATGACATAAAGCTTGATGGTAAGTTTATCTGCGAGAAACCACAAGAAACCCAATAGTTTTAGGCGTTTAATGCAACACAAGTCTAACCAAAAATGAAGCCAACATACCTTAGAAAGAGAAACAGAAGGAAATGAAACACCAACAAAATATCCAAACACCATTCCCATGACAGTCGTAATAATAAGCCTAGCACTATCATTTGATCTTTTGAAAACGCCACTGCAAAAAAACTGGAAAATTAACTAAGCTGATAGAGTAGAATGCAACTTCACTTTTGGTACCACAAGCAAACTTACAATAATTAACCAGCAGTAGCAAAAGCAAAGTTTTCAGAGAATACATCTTACAAACCTTCGGCCCATTGTGGTATAAATTGTTCAACTCAAAAGATCACGAACTAGGCACAAACCAATTCCTTGAGCATAATTTGAAGCAAATATGGCATTCTCCAGTTTCAAGAAAGCAAAAGCACCATTCACGGAAGTATAATTCCTGTTGAACAGACTCATAAGACAATAATTTCATACACCCACAAAACAACAAATATGGTTGTAGATAAGTAAGAACCAGTACTAAAGTGGCTCAAAATTAGGAACTTCCTGGCTGTACTTACAGATAGTAGTTATTTGCTTTTTCTACAAACTAACCACTTTTTATGAGTGAAACCAACTTGTTTTTTTTTCCTTTTGGGTCTTTGAGTGAAAACGAATGTACGATGAAATCCTAGTATGATTTAAAGTAACACATTAGGTTTTAGTTGAATGTTCAGCTTCTCCTTCACATCTTGGCTTGCGTGAAAATTGTCACATGAGAATAAGCATGGTATCTATCATTAATGGTGGCTATGACCATCAATCAGTAAGACTAACAACTCCAAACTCAGATTCTCCGAACTAATTCTTCTTTTACTTTTTCTGTCTTGCTAAAAAAAAACTACCTAAACTTAAATTCTTGATCTGTAACACATAATACTTCAACATCATGTACAAACATACAAAGCTTCAATTGAACAAAACAAATGAATATAAAAGAGGTTAAGGTACATAAATGACAAGACAACAATCTATTTGATCTCAAATTTTCACAGTAATATAATAATTGTGAAAAACAAGAAACCATAAACGACAAAAATAAAGGCAATGAAGCATTAAACAAAGCCGAAATAATAACAAAGATGTACTGAAATCGATTCAAAAAAAAAAAAAAATAGAAACCCTAAACAAACCGCCTTATATTTCTGAAAGATCGATCTTTTGATGCGCCCAGAGAATAAATAAGCTATTAGCCAGTGCAATATTGCAAATTTGAAACATAAACCTTCGGACATAACTAGGGTTTGAAGCTTACAGGTCTCGTTGATTGCAAGGAAGAGATGGAAGAGTCTTCTGCCCAAGAGATCTATATGAACATCTGGTTTTATTGCGGGCCAAAATTGAAAATTGTTCAACTTTTTAATTGACTATAATGGCCTTCATAAGTCATATGCATTGCAATTTTTTTTTTTTTAGTTCAACGATCATACCTATACAAACACATAATCACGATATGAATAACTTATTTTTAATTGGACAAAAAAAAATAGCTATATGAATTTTCCCAAGAGTTTTTTGGCGTAAAAAATATCTCGGGAACATAATCAATGTAATCAGAGTGTCTTTTCACACGTGATATTATCAATCAAATAAAATTTAAAAAATACAATTAATGATCATAGCCATCTAGAGGGTATAAATTGAGTTGTGTGGTGTCATTTTGTTTTCGTATTACCCGAGTGCTGTGCCATTTTTCAATTGTGTTATCTTGGTGTCATGCTNATAGCCATCTAGAGGGTATAAATTGAGTTGTGTGGTGTCATTTTGTTTTCGTATTAGCCGAGTGCTGTGCCATTTTTCAATTGTGTTATCTTGGTGTCATGTTGGTGCCAATTTAATGTACAAAGCTTCTTGATCAACATTCTAACAAAATAATTCTATGTCTATATCCATACAATAATACTAGATCGAAATTCATCTCAACTAAGCTTAACAAGTTTTAATTCAACTATATAAGGTCGGCTAGTTAAATAGGTTTGTCGTGTCAAAATTCAATTATCCATGTTTGACGATATCAATCGAATTATCATTTGTGTAAAAGAATTTTCATATGATCATTATTTTTAAATTTTTTTATAAATTATCATGACTTTCAACTTGTTTGTACTTTATGATAGTTTGCAGGAAAAAGTAAAATGTCATCTTAATATTGACAAGTTATTGATGACTCACCTGACTCCCAAGAGAAGGAATTACTTGATGAACAACCCATTGTGAATCAACCACACCAATTTTCTCATGTGCAGGCTGTAGAGGCAAAACAAAAGTAGTCACAAGATTTTGCCAAATTCAAGGTTGCGCACTACAGTAAAACATACCAAATTTCACTGGAAGATCCTTGGCATTTTTAAACTTTCTAACATTTACGTTGCATAATAAAAATAGAGAAACCCCACAATCCATATAAATTACTCCCATTTCACAATATTTGTGAGACAACCAACCCATGTCATATACAATGGGCATGCCTCATTGCTACACAAAGCATTCATTGAAACACTAAGAAAAAA